GACCTCTTCCAGTCCTGTCGAAGGCGTGGCGATAAGCCTGAATGCTGCGTGCGAGTTTAGCAGCCCAAGGACATGCTCAGTCAAGAGCTCGTCCCGGGCGCGTGTCTGCGAAGACATCGTTTGCAGCTCTGCCCTTTCGATCACACGAAGTCCGACACCAATGTCGGGCTTTGGGATAGAGAGCGGTCTCGAATCTGCTGATGACGGTCCGACGGGTGCCGTCCATGCGACATCTTCGCTAGTCCGTGTAAGAGTGAGCAAAGAGTCAGTGTGACCCTATCGTCAACTCTCGAAATACCTCACCTTGAACAAAAGGCGTCGCAATCCGTGATAACACTCATAATACGACGATTCAGATGCATCCATGCGCTCTCTACCCTGCCCTGAAAAGAATTTGGTTGCATGTTCTTGACAATAACCGCGCAAGATATCGCTTCTCTGAGCTCCGGGACCGAACCTGCTTCCACAACATCAGCGATTTGGGCCATGGTCGGTTCGTACTAAATTGCATAAAGTGCATCGGAAGACGTCAACAAATTGCGGCGTATTACGTACGTGGCTACAAGAATTGACCCACCCCGATCAAGGCTGGCGTCAATGGACTGAGATCGCTGAGGCTCCGCTTAAGAGTGTCGATATGCAACGGCACCCGTTCTTGTGGAAGGCGATTGACGAAGATAGATGCCTGCTCCAGGAATCGTTTCCTGTAGGTCCGACTAGCAGCCTTCGTATAGCTTGTGCCTTGAGAGTCTGACATGGTGTTAGGTAGCTAAACCCTGTTAGAGCTGTCAACAAATCCTGTGCTCTCGGTCAATTGTATCATCTTTGCATCGGGGCTAGGCTCATTGCCATGTGGCCTAATCAATCCGGAGATCAATCGTGGCATATCACGTGTTAAAGAGCTCGAGTCTTTAAACTCTAGCAAGTCACGGGAACCACCCGAGACGATATGGATCTGTTCACAACAGGAACTGACTGAAGCGTAGATCTAGCCTTGTCACAGGAAACAGCCGCGTCACATCAGGTACACATACTGTCTCAAGTGATGGCACCAACGGTCAATCGCTTTTCGGTCCGCATTGGGGACCAAGACGTGCCCTTCTAAGCAATAACTGTGGCTGTTCTGTCTGAAGAAGCTCGAAGCGATCTTTGCGAGCATCAAAATTGTCGAAAAAGAGAGGATCATCGCGTGGAGCCACGGCTCCATATCGAAACACCGCGAGGGTGCGCTGTGTGACAAAGTCCCGTTCAATGCTTGGCCAGCCGATGAGGAGAAAGATGTCAGCAAAGATGGCTCGCGGCGTTGTGCCCAGAACGACGAGAAGCGGCCTCGTTACCGTGTCCAGCGTAAGCAGGCCGACAACGAGTTGAGCGGGCCGGTCCTCGACAATCCTTAACGTGTTGATGGCGTGCGGTTGGCCTCTGTCCTTGCCTCTGCTCTTGTTCTACTGCACGTGTCCCATCTCGCCGTTACCGTCGTCGTCGTCGCAGTCTTTGTTTCCTCCCTCAACTTGCTCTAATTTGCTTGAAGACGGACAGCGCCTCGGTGATCCATGAGCACTGCGGCACAAGCCCGTTGGGTGCAGGTAGTACCAGAGAGCCACTGACGAGCGTCGTGATACCGAGGGAAAAAAATCCTAATGGAAGCCAGCGGGCCCCGACAGGGGCATTTGCCTCGCTTGGGCCATGACGAAGCTGACGTTGTGGTCAAAGTAGAAGAAACCATGATGGGAAAGCCGAGCGGCGCGCCCCCGAAAACCCAATTGACCTCAATGATCCAGAAATGCAACGAACCAGCGTCGGTCCATTGTGGGGAAGAGCAACTTTGCCATTTTTTCCACCAGTCATCGCGCTAGCAACTCTGGCCCTTGTGGAGTGAACATTGCTTCCACATAGCCCATGTTCAGCTCGGTTTGATTGCGAAAGGTCCAGATGTGAGGCTGGCTCACCGAACCTCCGCAGCGCATGTCGATCTGGCAATCCTGTACAGCGAACGTATGGTCGCCATCCTGCCCACCGTGGCCAGTACCATAGGATCGCTTGAGGTAAGCCTCTACGATCCCAACGCTGTTAAGCCCAATGCCTGTCTTGAACGTGGTTTCGCTCTGCCCGCTTGCCATCGCGGCTGCCTCCTGGTTGTAGGCATGCCAGAATCCGTGGGCGCCTTTGCCTGCGAAGCTAGAGATCTGTTTGAGCCGATCCGTGAAAAATTCTTTGAGCTGCTCGGCGATGAACCAAAGGCAATGCTCTACTTCCATTCTTCCTTCGGCTATCATGCAGTCAAATAAGCCCGTAGCCGCGATAAGCAAGCCCGTCTCAGCGCTTGATGCTGTTCCCTTCAGACCCTCCTTCTCCGCCATCCATCTGCGCAGGTTGAAGGTGACCACAATGACCGCATCGTCATAACCCATGGTGATTTCCTCTTCCGTTCGAAAGAGCTCCAGAGTTGCCAAAATGAGACATGCTCCAATGCCGTAGGCGGCTGTCAAGCCTCTCTCCTTGCATGCTCGAAGGAAGTCTTTGCTGGTCTCCTTGTCAAGCCTGAACCGATGCAACTTTGTAGGCAATGCGTCTCTGGGCCAAGGCTTCATTTTGCAGGCAAATGACTCGTTGAGGGGTAAGCCCGCTTTGGACTTGAGAGCAGAAAGAAGGCGCGTGAGCAGAAGTCCCCATTTGGCATCAAGCAACCCACCTCAATCAGTCGCTTGCCAAGG